TATCAGTGAATTGGGCAGTGTCAGTTGTGTCTACTGAATTCTAAATTGTTATAACTATCGTAGGTCCAAAAACTTAGAACTCTATTTATAAACATGTGTACATTCTGGAATTCTAGAAATGTAATAGGACTGACTGCGCCAATGTGAAAATTCAGTCAATTTACATTAACATGCTTATTCTTAATAGAGACCTAAGAGAAAATTATTGCCGAAATCCAGATGGAGCTGAGTCACCCTGGTGTTTTACCACTGATCCAAACATCCGAGTTGGCTACTGCTCCCAAATTCCAAACTGTGACGTGTCAAGTGGACAAGGTAATAGCTGACATTTTGCAGGATGGGTATGATTAAATTCAGGGGAAATGCCTAAGGGGAGGACACGTTTTATAGCAGAAGATCTACTTCTCGCTGCATCGCTTTTACTGGGTAGCAAACAAAATCACCAAGTCTGAAGTTGGATTTCTTTTATGTATTCATTCATTCAACATTTATTTATTTATTTATTTACCTGCATGTATGCTAGTGCTAGGCAAACTTCTAGGTGCTGGAGATACACCAGTAAACAAAACTAAATTCTTTGACCTCATGGAGCTAATTTCCAGCAGACAGAAAACAAGGGTTATAAAAATGAGGGTGGGAGTGTTATGTTAGTTTCTGGGAAGTAGTGGAGACAAAAACATCCCAAAGTTAGAGGAGAGGGGTGCTGCTATTTTATACTTTAATGGTCAGGAAAGATCTTACTTGTTAAGGGACATTTAAGGAGGACTCAGGGGAAGTGAAGGAGCAGGATATGCCTTCTACATATATGTGTAAAGAGTGTTCTAGGAAGAGAAAACTACAGGTGCAAATGACATGAGATGAGAGAATGCTTGAAAAGTTAAAGAAATAAGCACATCACTATGGCCGGTGCAGAATAAGCAAGATGAAGAGTAGCAGGAAATGAAGTTAGAGAGGCAACTAGGCTAAAATTGCATTGGCGTTGTAGGAACTGTGATGATCTGCGCTTTTGCTCTGCAAGAGAAGGGACTCTGTTGTAGGGATCTGAGAAGAGAAGTTAAGTGATTTGATCTAAGTTTTAACTGGATCATTCAGGCTGCATTCTGGAAATAGCCATTATTCACAACAAGGGTTAACACAGGAGAACCAATGAATTGGTTGTTTCGATAATCCAGGCAAGACATGAGAGTGACTTGGACCTGGGTGTTAGCGGTGGAGCTGATGTGTAGTGGTGGGGTTTGGGATAAATCATTACGTATTTGGAAACATAGATGCCATTGAAGGTAACTGTCTCAGGGAACAGTAGTAAAGTCAGAATGAAATAGATTTAAAAAATAAATAATTTGTTAAAGATTAATAATAAGGTTGAGCCCTGGGTATTTGTTGGTGTATAATAACTTGAATTATAATTTTTAAATGATCATATTCTATTTCACATAAACTTAATTATGATGGTAATGGTCATGGTCAGTCCAAAATCATCCTACAAATCCCAAGCCTAATTTAAAGCTCCATTTCATAGAGTTATTGTCCTATATATACTTCCATCCTTTAACTTTTTCCACAGTGCCATTGTTCATGAGCAACTCTGAAAATAGAGTTGTAGAGGGAAGAGGGGACGAGTCCCTTTTCAGTCAATTTCATTCACTATTCTTTGGAAGATTTTAAAGGTCAGTTGGAAATAAAGTTGAAACCAATGATTAAAAGAAGTTTGGCACCGGATGAGTCTTCTGTGTTTCTGTCTCAATTACTTGGAAAATTGCTGATAATTTGTGAGTGGTGGAAGGAAACAAGAACAATTGTTTTATAAGCTTATGGTGTGTGTTAAGACATTTTTATACACATATATATCACTTAACAAAAGGATCATGTTATAGAATATAAAAGTTTTCGATTTGGGAGTTTAAGTAGATGTTCATTGCTTATCTAATAAATCTATTCATTAATAGATGAAGAAATTGGTTTTATGGAATTTAAATAACTTGCATAAATTCTCAAATTGGCACAGTTGGAATTAAATCTGGCTCTCCTTACAAGGACCTTTTCATTATTTCATGCTTTCTCTCTTTGATTCATTCTTTAACAATACTTGATACATGCAACAATGTGTTAGACTCTGTGGGACAATTTAAAAATGAAGGAGGCAAAGACCTGCTGTTCACACTGCTAGACAATTCAATATCTAGCTGTGAAATTTAAACTGACAGTTATGCCATTGTATGATACTGCCAAGCTAATGGTATGCATTGTTTTATGCATATATATTAACATATAAATCTATATATATGCATCGTTATTTATACATCTATAGTTACAGATATATATATATGTCTAAACATACACAGATCTGTATATGAGAGGATGCCATTCTTACCATTCTTCACTTAACAAAAAGTATAAATTTCACATGTATTTCTATGAGTTGGAAATCTTTTTTCAAATCTCGCAATATCAGAATTAGTATTTATACACAAATGCTTTTTCTACTGTATATTAAATAACACTGTTAAGAAAAACGAAAACTGAAATGGAAGAATTTTTTAAAATGCCAATAAAACATTTAGTAAATTATATAAGATATACTTAAGGCAATAAACAGAAGACAATTTGTAACAATAAATATTTATGTCGATATCTTAAAATAATGAAAATAAATGATTGAAGTTTCCAACTCAAAAATCTGGGACTAAAGTAAACCAAAAGAAATATAAGAAAGAAAATAATCAAGATAAAAGCAAACATTTATAGGAGAGAAAAAAGAAAAGAGTAGAACTAGTGAATAAATCAAAGGATAATTTCTTTTTAACAAATTAACAGAATAAATAATTACCAGCCAACTGAATCAAGAAAGAGAGAAAACAAAAATATATAATAGTTATTAAGACGTAAATAATGATCAAAACAGGAAAATTAGAAAATATGAGATCATTTTATTCAACTTCATATAAAACTTTGAAAATATAGGTGAAATGATTAGTTTACTAGGAAAATTCAAGTTAGTTGAATTGACTCTGATAGAAAAGAAAGCTTAAATAGACCAATTCCTATAGAAGAAATATAGAAATTTATTAAGCTAATCTATACATTTAATGTGATATTAATAAATAGGTCAAGAAGTTTTTTCCTGATATTAAACAATTTGATTCTAAAATTCTCCTCGAAAAATAAACATGTGAGTATAATAACAAAACCTTGAAAAAAGGAGTAAGTAGAGGGAATTAACCCTATCAGAAATTAAAATATTTTATAAGGTTTTTGTAAGTAAAATAGCATAGTTCTGGCAGGGGAATAACTTGACAATTGGAATGAAATACAAAGTCCTGAAATAGACCTAACTAAATATGGAAATATATTAAAAATATGGCAATGTATACCACTGGGTAAAATATGAACTTTTAGAATAATAATGAATCAGCAGGTTAACCATTTGGAAAAATAATAAAATTAAATCCACTCCTTGTACTCTATCTGAAAAAAAATTCCACATAGATAAAAGATTAGAATGTAAAAAAGAAAACCACATAGATTTTGGCTCAACAATGCCACTACCTGAATATACAGCTCCAACAACATGCAAAAACATATGCACAAAGTTTTTTTATTGCAGCATTATCTGTAATAGCAAAACAACCCAAATGTACTTTGGCACAGCCACACGGCGGAATGCTATGAACTTGCGAAAAGAACAAGAAGACTCTCCCTCCATGAACTAATATGGGATAATTTTCAGGTATATGGTTAATTTTTTTAAAAAGCTAGGCATGAAACTATGTTTGGTATACTATTAAATAGTAGTAAATAAAGGAATTTACTATTAATACTAATAATTGATATTACTTGAAATCAGAGTTCTCACTGTGGGAAAAAGGAAATAGAGAAATGAAATGAAAGAAAGGAAAAACTCTGGGTATTAGATTAAGAAGAATCAGTAGTTACTCATAACAAATAGATATAAATACACACATACCCACACACACAAACACACATTGCCTAGCAGTATCAAATGAAAGGGAATAGGCCGGGCGCGGTGGCTCACGCCTGTAATCCTAGCACTCTGGGAGGCCGAGGCGGGCGGATTGTTTGAGCTCAGGAGTTCGAAACCAGCCTGAGCAAGAGCGAGACCCCCGTCTCTACTAAAAATAGAAAGAAATTAATCAGACAACTAAAAAATATATAGAAAAAAAAAATTAGCCAGGCATGGTGGCGCATGCCTGCAGTCCCAGCTACTCAGGAGGCTGAGGCAGAAGGATTGCTTGAGCCCAGGAGTGTGAGGTTGCTGTGAGCTAGGCTGACGCCACTGCACTCACTCTAGCCCGGGGAACAAAGTGAGACTCTGTCTCAGAATAAAAAAAAAAAAAAAAGAAAGGGAATAGCAATTAAGAAGTGCTCAGAAAATCATATCCTCCTCTTTTTAAAAACCTGTAACCCACGTCTAATCAAAACGAAAATATCAGATAAACCCTGTTGAGGGGCATTTTACAAAATACCTGACCAATTGTCCTCAAAACTGTCAAAGTCATCATAAACAAAAACAAGTCTGAGGAATCGTCACATCTGGAAGAGACTTAGGAAACATGACTACTATTATTAAAAGTAATGTGGTGTGATGTGGAATCCTGGAACACAAAAAAGGATATTGAGTAAAAACTAAGAATATATAAACAAAGTATAGACTTCAGTTAATAATAATGCATCAATATTAGTTCAATAGTTATGACAAATCTGTCCTACTAATGTGAGATGTTAAAAGTTGGAGAAACTGCATAGTACATAGAACTTTCTGTACTATCTTGACAACTTTCCTGTAAACCAAAAATTATTCTAAAATAAAAAGTTTACTAAGAAAAACCTAGCACGTAGTCCATGTTTAAATAAAAGGATAGTGGTTGTGGCGGTGGTAGGGAAGCCCTCTTCAAATAACGTATTCAACCAAACACAGGTGTAAAAAACAAAAATGTACAAGAGCAGTACTGATGCACTATGTTGCACAATTGTTTTCATTAGTAAAAGTGCATCTAAAGAATTTACTACCTAATAGTCAAAGCTTTAGATTTTTCTAATACAGAAAAAAAGAAAGATAGTGTTGTTAGAGAAAAATGTTTCTTCGAATTGGTATATTCTTCAAGGTTGCAAGTATTGGATTTTACAAGTTTGGTGTGCTGTAATGACTGCTATTTTATCTGTTTTAAATCTGATTCTATTTGAGTTTTCATTAATACATTTAAGCCAAAATTCCTTATAGTGATATTGCAATGTGATCCGAGGATATGAACACGTGACCATTGAATATACTTATTATACGTATTTCTTTTTCACTGTGTTAGCTGATTCCTGGACAAATGATTAAATTATTCATTTAATCAACTTTATTAAAATTTGTGTTTATCATTTATTATAATCACATAACACATTTTAAAATTAATGACAATATGCTCTGATTTACCAAGTTTAAAACACAGAATAATATTAATGTTGATGTACATTTTTAGATAATATTTTGTAGTCAAATCTACAGTTTTTATACAGATAAAAATGTTTAATGATAAAGTCACTTTTTAAATGTTTTTCATTATTTAAAAATATAGAATAGTGTTTCTTTTTAAATATAGAACTATAACTTACAATTTTGGAAGAACTGATTTATTATTACTACATTTCTTTTGATTAATAATATCAACACTTCTATCAATGTTTATTAGAACACAAATAGCCAATTAAAAAATGAAAACTAAAACTTCATGGGACATGGTAGGAGACACAGGAATCAGTTAAAGCAGCTTTCATTGGGTAGATTCAGAATAATTTGAACATAAAAATGAATAACAGGAATAGATTATATATCACATTGAATAAAAATAGAATCCACAAGTCCATATTTAAATAACTACTTTTACTACCAGTACTAGCACTTCTACTTCTAATACCTAAATGAAAGGGGTAGGGCAAAAGGAAAAAAATCTTATTTACAATATACCAACTAATAAATATATAAAGAAATGTTAGAAATAGCAAAATAATCATTTTACAACCAGCATAGTTATAACTGATTCATGCAAAATTCATCAAAGTATGCCTAAGGCACTTTGTGCAAATTTGTTTGGCACTAGGAGGTTTATTCAGTCTCAAAGTTCTCAATAGATTTTGTTAAATATGAAGGGAAGTTTTTCCTATAATCACTTAACCAAGTGATCAAATGCACCACCAATGACATCATGTGTCACAGGATGTAATACTCTGAAAAGGACGAAGTATCACTGGTGAAATATTCCTGTCAAATATAACTTGATTTTATCCATGAGAGAATAATCAAATTGAAATTAAAGAGTATTTGTAAAAAAGCTGTCTTGAGTGATTCACAATGTCAATGCCATGAAAGACAAAGATCAAAACACAAGGAATGTGCCTAGTATATTATTCTAGAGACTTTTCTATGGAATGAAATTTTTCAGAATAATATATTGAGAAATATATGTGTTATTCTAAAAATTCTCATTTCTTTGGTGTCCCAAAGGGCCACTCATTTTTTTTAATTAAAAAAATATTACTTGTAATATTTGAGTTTGCATAATGAAAAAGAGATTGGATTAAAAGATACTTTAATTTGAGATATTTAAGTCTCTTTGATTTGTATAGATTTCAGAGTGCTTCATTTTAATTTTTATGTTCATTTTCATAATTTCATATGTTTTTTAAAAATATTTTTGCTTTATCCTCCCTAATCTTCACTAGTCTTCTTTTCATATATTTTACATCTAGATTGTTATCGTGGGAATGGCAAAAACTATATGGGCAATTTATCCAAAACAAGATCTGGACTAACATGTTCAATGTGGGAAAAGAACATGGAAGATTTACACCGGTGTGTAAATGTCTTTATTTCAATATATAGAATGTAGTGATAACAACAGATTGTATATTCAGGTACATACATTGCTATACCTTTCTATTCTTTTATGTATCATAGTAAGCTAATAAAAACACTAGATTGATTTTTCTATACAACTCATAACATTGTCTCTCCATGTAGCAAACTTTGGAATATGCAATTCAAGTTAGCACCCATTTACTGAACATTTACTCTGTAGTTTGTACTGTAATTGGTACCATGGGAAACATCAACAAAAAGTGGGCACCTGTTTCAGTTCCAACCTTCAAGGAGGACACGGTCGCATTGACAAAACAATTACATAACTTAACAAGATAGTATATAATTAAGTGGCAAATCTGGTGTTCTGAATAGTGTATATTAGAGGATTATTATGTTCTCATATTTAGTATTAGTAGTTTATTAAAAAATCAATAAATGATCATTTTGATATGCATATATAATTAAAATATCCACTTTACTAAAAACTTATAGACAGATTTCCTCAAGTAGCTTTAATATGTAAAATTTTATAATTATCATTGTAATGTATATATAAATTGAAAAAATCTACATATATCAGAGCATTACAGATTTTTATATTGGACATATTCAAAAAGAAGTTAGCATCCACTTGGCCCTAGCAATAGTGACAGTGTTTACAAAATTACAAATGAAGTATGACACATAATTGTGACCCAAAACAGATTTTTAGTGAACATCCCAGAATATATGCACTATAATAAAAGAAAAAAGAAGTGTCATTTGATCAAGTGCCTACAACATGGATGCTTTACATGAGTTATTATGTCATTTGACCACCACAATCCTATATGGAAGATATTTCTATACATGGATAGGAATTTAAGGGCTCAGAGTCACTTTACTTTAGTCTTACTTTAAATCTCCTATTCTCTTTCAAAATATACTCAATAGTGGATGATATTTCAATTAATTTATTTCACAAACAAATATGATAGTTTTTAAAGCAATGCTCTCTAGTATAAATATAATGCAACTTACGAATGTAATCCATATATGTACCTTTAAATTTCCTTGTAGTCACTTTCAAAGAAATAAAAATAAAATGGCAAAATTAATTTTAACATATTCTATTTGATCCAATGTATCTAAAGTTTTAAAAGTTTCAACATATATTCAATATAAAAATTATTAATGACATCTTTTATATTCTTCTTCATGCTACATGTTCAAAATCCGGCATATATTTACACTTATAGCACCTCTCAATTTAGACCAGCCACATATCAATTGCTCAGTAGCCACATGTGGCTAGAAGCTACTACCTGAAGTCTAGGACTTCAGAGAGCAACAGAGTTCTGCCCTCATGAATCTCACGCTCTAGTATGGGATGCAAACAAACAGGAAATGTCAATACTGTATTATATATGAAAGAGAGCTTATTTTATGCTATGGGAATGCAAAGAAGTGCCTACCCAGACTTAGATGGTCAAGAGGCTTCCTAAAGGAAGGGACATTAGCTGGGACATATATGATGAGTAGAAATTGGCCAAGAGAAGCATAGGAGGAAGAGTACATTAGACAGAAGAAATAGCAAGTGCAAAGGCTGAAATGTTGAAGTGTTCGAAAATGAAATTAATTGTCCTTTGGAAATTTCAATTTCCTGAAATGTAATAAAGCATAATCTTAAAGTCTGCTTCATAAGATTAGTCTAAGGTTATGTCTCTAAAGAACTTCTTTTTCCAGAAAATGAACCTTGGTCTGGAAATGGTCCAAGTTTCCATGTTCAAGCTCTTTGCAATTTTACTTAAAATGATATATTAATTTTATTCAAGCATGGTAGTAATTAATAACACAAGATAAATTCACTTAGATGTCTTGTTTTCATGACTTGATCAGAGTGGCCATGTAGAATTTGACTACATTAATGTTACTGAGGTAAATGTAAATATTGATGTTCCGTGAATGGCCTTGGTCTTATAAAATAACATATAAGGTTTTTGCTTTTTTTGGTAATAAATTTAATTAAGACATAAGATAGAAATATTGAAGTGTTAGTTATCTTTCAGAAAATCATATTTTGTAACTATATGACCAGCAAAATTTTAGAATTTAATTATTTCATTAGCACATTATTATCAATTTTTAGTGTATCTGCCTGTTTTTTGTCATAGTCATATTGCTAATGATGCTTTATCTGTACCTGAAATGTGAAAAAATACTTTTACAATAGCTTGTATTTTCTATGCATTTTATAATTCTGATCTTTGCCATCTGCTTATTGTAGACAATGTTTCTCTATTTCTGTGCAAAAGTATTGCTACCTTCCACCATAGTTATTAAATAGAGGTAAAGTTACAAAATCCCTCATCATTTTGTATATGCTAATTATGGAGTCCCTTTCCATATTGCCAAGTTAGAAAATGTGCTACCAAATTGTAAGAACAACAGCAGCAACAAAATAGAGATCAAACAAAATAAGTAAAATTCACCCCAAGTAGAAGCTTGTGCTGGATCTGCTTTGAAAGTAATGTGCTAGGATTATATCTTCTTGAAGTATGTTGTTTCTCTTGGACGGAGTGAGCGTCTTGTGATGTTTGAAGCTTGTTGTTTATGCAGCCATATCTTCTGGGAACCAGATGCTAGCAAGCTGAATAAGAACTACTGCCGCAATCCCGACGATGATGCCCACGGCCCCTGGTGTTACACGGGGAATCCGCTCATTCCCTGGGATTATTGCCCTATTTCTCGTTGTAAGTACAGTTAGGCATCTTTTTTATGTGAAATATTTTAAGTATACTGTATCTCCTCTAAAATGATACCTTCATCAGAGTTGTAAATGATATCAGAGGTCTGGAGTTGATCCGCAAATGAGGATGCTCTCCAGAGAGCAACACACACGGACACACACACACACACACACACACACACACACACTACACACTGACATACCACTCATTCTCTCTGCAAAATCCCCAGTCCACTAAAAGACTCACGAACAGATCTGAAATGCTGGTGCCTTCATCTTCTTCTCAGTTCTTTAACCCAAGACTAAGAAGAGCCTGGAGATTTTTACCCACTTATCTGAATCCAAGATGGCTTTGTTAGAAGGATATTAGTGCATAAAGTAAAAGATATATGTAAAGCATATGTGTTTGATATACTTCATATAAAATGCATGTCTTATATGCTTCATATAAAAAAGCCCCTACATGTCAATAGGGAAAAGATGTGATAAAGAGTGGAGTAATAAGGCTTTCTCAATACTATGCTACTTTTTTGAGGGTGAATTGAAAATCCTGCCTGGAAGTCAGTTTGGCAGTATTTATTAAAAGTAATAATATTGTTGATATACATCAGGATTTCTCAGCCTTGGCACATTGACATTTGGGGCTAGATAATTCTCTGTTGTGGGAGGCTGTTCTTTGTATTGTAGGATCTTTAGTGGTTTTGTTGGCCTCTATCCACTAGATGCCAGTAGTACCACACCTGCCTAAGTCATGGCAATCAAAAATATCTCCAGACATTGCCAATGTCCCCTGGGTGACAAAATCACCCCCACTGAGAACCATTAATATGTATTGAGATAGAAATATGTCTTTTACATGTTATTGAGTAAAAAAGCCTTTTTATAATGCTGTGCCTGTACTAAGAGACCATTTTACTACACTTGTATCATAGCTGTATCTTTACAGCAAACCGCAATGTTAAACTACCTTCTTTTTATGTACTTTTATAAGTTCAAAAAGAACCTTGTTTTAACAATATTTTTCTTGTGAGACAAACTAATAGTAGCAAGTACTTTGAGAGTAGCAGCAAAAATACCCACCCTAAAAAGAGAGATAATAATATTGCTTTAAAAAATGAAATACAAATACAAGTCTATATTTTTCCAGAATTTACGTCAAATTAAAGAGGGAATTTTCACCTTAAGTGGAATCACTAGTCGCATTTCATGAAATTGTAGCATAAAAAGACAAACTTCTTAAAAATGATGCTAATCAAATGTACCTATCATTAAGACTTGAAATGGCTCTATTTTTAATAGGTTGGGAAATTCGTTATAATAATAATTAAATACCTTGTATAATTGCAAAGAAATGATATTTCCAATGATTTTATTTTTATTTTATCAGCCACGATCATAGCCTTTCAAATTAATTAGTGTTTTCCAAATGTTCTATACTTTCCCCATATTTGGGTTTGCATAGGCCCTGAAAATGTTCTCCCAGCAAAGATGTCTTTCAAGTTTTAACACTAAAACAACAAACAAGGCTACCTGTCCAGAGAATGCCATACAAAAAAAAAAAAAAAAGAAAAAGAAAAACTGATTAAGGAATATTTTTTCTAAGTATTAGTTTTACATGACTACCTTCTTGTGAAGTCTTCTGGATTAAGAATAATGGAAGCTCATAGAAATATACATTGATCTAGGAAGAAAGAAAAAGTCAGTGATCTGGCTTATAAAACTGGTTATATTGCTTTCTCTACAGAATTCCAGATTTGTAAGACTCACAGCAGCCCCATTAGCACATATGTATAGTTTAGAGTAAAATGCTCCCTTATAATCTCAGGACACTGTGATTTGGTTTATAAGTCTAACTAAGGGAGACAGGACTCTAATAATTTAAAAGTTTTCAAAACTTTTTTTCAACTAATATTTTTAAACTAAAAGTTGGTAATTTGCTGTTGAAAGACTTCATGGTGTTTCTACTATTTGATTAAATGCTATTGCAGATAACTCATTTTTATTTCAGTGTATACCAAACATTAATTTCAATAAAGATTTCTGCAGTCATTTTTCCAACTAATATTTATAGCCAGGATTTATTTACATTTTCTTCCTGGTGAAAGGCTAGTAAAATTTATCTTTAGAAGATTTGATTTATTATTATTTATATAACTGCAGAGACTGTATAAATCATTTTCACACTGTACATTTATTTCTCCTACAAAACATGTAAAGGTTTTTATTCATGTTTTTCTAAAATGCTTACAAAATAATATTCAACATATTCTAAGCTTTTCAAATATGCAAACATAAAAATGTAGAAATGCATATATGTTTGTGTATACACACACACTCAGTATATCTTAGAAAAATATTAACTACTGAGAATGTAGTTGTTAAGAGCATCAACTCTGACTTCCTAAGAATCCCCGACTCATCACTTTTTAAGTGTCTTGGACAAGTTACTTAACCTACCTATGACTCATTTTCTGTATTTGTAAATTTTATAATAAAAGTACTTATCATATCTGGATATTATGAACAGTGTTGCATAGTACATACTCAAAAATTTACCTTCCATCCCTGTTTTTATTTAGTCAATCATTTGTTATTTTTTATTGTTCTGCTATTGTGTGCAAAGCCCTATATAATATGCTAAGTATACAAAAACATAAACACACCCACACACTTCTTCAAATAGTTTACAGGACAGAGGAGAGACATTTATATAAACAACCATAAAGCAATATAATCATGTAATAGATATATATTAATATTAATACATAAAATGAGAATGGGAACATAGCTGTGTGCCTAGAGAAATACGTGATGTTTATAGAGTTTTGAATTTGCATTGAAACTTTAAGAATACAGTAAAAGAAAGATTTCTTTATGTTTTCAGTAAAAGCCCATGTTTGGTTCTAAGGCTATACAAAGACACACACACACACACACACACACACACACGCACAAACACATCTACTATTCCACAGGTAAAACATTTATCATTGACATGTTTTCCTTTTTCAAATTTAAGTGGAAACAGTACCAAATAAGATTTGCATCATATATATTTTTCAGACATGAGTAATGTTGTAGAGATAGTGGGGTAAGTAAAGGAAGAGAGATGAGAATAGTATTTGATAGTGAAATGGTAAAGGCCTAGAGAGCAGTTTCTCAAAGTTTTGCTCAAAGTATACAACAGAAGAACCTAGAGTGCTTTTTAAAAATTCAGAATCCAGCCACCTGCTTAGAATCTCCAGAAATCTGATTTTAAATGATATTTCAGCTTAAGTGTAAAAAATATCAGATTAGAGGAAGCAAAACATATGTATTACTATTAATTATTAAAACCCCACATTTATCATACTACAAATTTTTAAAACTTTAAATATTTTAATAAGATGCAAGAATGAACTAAGCACTTTATTTATTAGCTTAATGCTTAGAAATAAGAGACTAAATATGCAACTAAGGATAGAATGAATAATCTAGTCTTTCTCATCACAACATAAGAAATAAGTATCTACTTACTTACTTTAACATTTTCAAGCAATTGACTTGAGTGGAAAAAACAATATCCTTGAAAGTTTCATTACTGTAGTCTGCCTCAATCTTAATTTGTACTGTGAACTAAAATACTGACCTCAGCTGACTCTAAAACAAAACCCTCCCCCAGGATAAGCTAAGAAGAAAGGGAAATGATAAAATTTCTATGTTCACCTTTACCCTTAATTCATTTAAAATATCTAGAGCTGGAAAATGAACACAAATAAGCATGTATTAATTCTCTTACCTATCCTCACAAATAACAATCAAATTTGTATCCATATGCCATTGTTGTTTTGTTGCTAGTTTATTTGAGCTCAGGGCATTTCCAGGGATTAACAACCATCTGGGTCTAAACAGTGCCTGACTGAACTCTATGCCATCAATTCTGAACAGTCAAACGTTAAGCTCCAGGAAATGTCTTGTGTCTCATTTATTACTGCATAAGTATTTCCAAATCCTAGCATCTTCCAAGCCTTTCTCTTTACAGCAATTAAACCCCAGTAGAGATGAAAAAGTAGTAAGTTATGAGGTTTTAGTTAGAATTAATTTGTAGCTTTCGGTGTTCTTTTTTTCCATACTTTTTTTTTTACTAGCATCTGGAAAAGCCAATCTTTGAAATATTCTAACAACAAAACATAATTATATTTTGTTATCCCTCTTTTCCCATTAGTGACATTAATTTCTATTATCCGGAATTCTTACAAAGATTAAAGTTGAAAGTTTTCAGAAAAAATTTAAATGATTCAAATTACAGTAAAGACAAAATAGTCTATCTATGAAGGGTCCAAGCAAACATATGCATTAGTTCTATTTAATGAAATGTGCATTGTGTACAACGCTGGGCATCTTGGTAGAATAAAGTGACTCCTTGATGCCAGCAGTGAAATTCAAGCTACCAATAGTCATCACACCACATACCTGAAAACCTTCACAGTCATAAAATTGCGCTCTCCTCACATCACCTAGTGCCAGCAGGCATATACCTACAATATGACCCAACAAAAGTAAAACATAATTACTCAAGAGAGTACTATGACATTTTATCCTTGAATAAAATGTCAAGAATCTTAGGAAATTATTCAATGTATGGATACTTGAATTTTAATATATAGTTTGATTTTATGCAATGGAAATATGTATATATGAATTATATTTATCGACATATTTATTTTTATAGGTGAAGGTGATACCACACCTACAATAGTGAATTTAGACCGTAAGTAATCATTCAAAATATAAGGTATATCTGATTTTCTATGTGTCAGAAATGATGTCATTATTTTCTTCATAAAAAATTGTTTTGTACTTTATTAACTTTCATCAGAAGAATAAGTTAATCTATTTGTTTTTATTTAAAATTCTTTTCTATATGCAGATGAAGGAATTTAAAAGGCAACTGCATACTGAATATCGAAATTCAATTCTCTATCGGAAAATCTATAAACTGATATATGTGATTTTGATAAAAGCATTTATACTTACTTCTAATTTGGGGCACAATGTATACAATGGATCACTTTTATATACACTACCCTCTAAATAAAATTGGAATGCTAAAGTCGGAAAGAATGAAACCAGAAAATTGGAAAGTTATTCAGTGTCTCCATTCTGCTCTATCTTTAAAGCTCTTTGCTCTCCCTACAGTCTATTAGGCAAAAGACGATATAATCTGAGAGGTTCAGTTAAGCCTCAGTTTAAGAATCTAGTGGGAACTGATTGTTCTTGCTTTTCACATATTTCTTGGGCTGAACAAAGTTACCCAAGTGTTTTGATTTAAAAGACCACCTGCTGTGCCCCAGGCTGAGGAAGCGAATGGAAATCTATTCTAGACCCTGGGCAGAAGTAGAAAGAAGAAGGCTAGGAACACTGAGGAGGGTTAGGAAAATGTTTACTCCAAAGAATTCTGTATTATGTCATTTGGACATAATAATTTGGATATAATAATTATGTCATTTGGATATAATTTCAACAAATTTAATGTTGGTAATATGTTTCGAAATAGCTCTACATTCCTACTGCACAAATTCAGAAAAAATAACCAAATATAGTTATGTCATGCTTTGTTTCACTCAGGCGATTGATTCCTATTGACATTTGGAAATAACAACTATAAATAACATTGGTTCATCTTATGTTGAGGGTGGTGAGGGAAGTACAGCATTAGTATTAGGCCTGAGGAACTTGTTTTTAGTGCATGAGTGAGCAGAGCCACTGTGACTATCATGGCAATCCTGTCTGCCTTGACTTGATGAGTTTTTCTGTGTCACTGTACTCCTTATACGAGGATGATAAGCATTAGAGGCTTGATATAGTATAGTGGTCATATAATACTACTCTTTATCCAAAATGTCCTTCTGATACAATTTCAGTAGTTACATTTGTCTAGTTATCACTGCATTTAAGAAAACTGAGAAGCACTGATGATTTCGAAGTGTTATGTTAAAATGTTATGTTTGGTCCTGGTTTCAGATCCTGTAATATCTTGCGCCAAAACAAAACAATTGCGAGTTGTAAATGGGATTCCAACACGAACAAATGTGGGATGGATGGTTAGTTTGAAATACAGGTAATTATTAATAGATGCCAAATCAAACATTTAGACAATTTGCAAAAGTCATATTCCCAGAAGTATGGTCACACGTGGATTGCGAAGGTTGTGCCCCCCACAGTGCACCCAGCTGAGGAGTTATGTGAGGGGACCGATCACATTCTGCTTGCTCTGGACTTTGCAATTTGTGCTTCCAGAGGTAGTGAGTTTGAAATGTTCACAAAGACCCCATATGTGTCGGCATCGTCCCCGAATCCAAGGGATACTTTGGTTTCGATTAATCAAAGAACAACTATACAGAAAACCTATTTATACCTTAATATCATGAAGTAGTTATAATACATGTTATTGATTTCCCAATCTATGATATTGTGAGTTTATTTTCTAACATGTCTACGCACAATCATATTAGAAATTTTATATTTGTTCTTAATTTCTGACATTTTCCTTGTCATTCAAATGAAAAGTGGCCATTTTATATTCTGAAATATTTTGTCATTACAAAAAAGGTTAAAAAACTATATTGATAGCTGATTTAGATATTATAATAAACAATGTGAATAAAAAATTCTTGACATGTTTTTCTCAATGCTCTCTTAATCGATGGCAGGTTCTGTATAAAATCACTTTGTAAATTATATTGTTAAAGAAAATTAAGCTTAATAATTGTCATAAAATTCAATATTGAAAATATAAGTTAACTTAAAATCTGATCTTACAACTTTTCATATACTGCATATATTATTCTATATGGTAATCAGAATGATAAAATATCTGTTTTTATTTATCTCTATCAGAACCTCATCATACAATAAACACCCCAAAATATACCTGAATTCTAGCCACAATTTCTCTTATTTTCTAGACATCTCAACTTTCTCCCTCTTGTCATTTCCACTACATGTTGTGGCTTTCTACCTCCATGTTTAATGCCTGAAAATTCTTTTTCATTCTTCCAATCTCAACTTAAAGATCTCCTCTTTTAGGAAATGCTCCTTTTTCATTTACCCTTAGCATCCTAGAATAGAGGAGGAAAATATATTTTTTAATACCACTAACTCTTAGTAACATTAAAATAGAATAGAGACAACTTGAAACTGAAGTCCTTTTATTAATAAAAAAATTCTTGACAAGCAGTTGACATCCCTTGATATATATGACTTTCGATAACATAATGCTGTAAAATATTTTCAAAGAAAATATTTTTCTCAAAGAATAACTCATTAGATTTTATAAATACTTATGCCAGGCCGGGCGTGGTGGCTCACGCCTGTAATCCTAGCA